TGTAAGTTGGAGGCCATCACTGTAAGGTTGGAGGCCATCGCTCATAGATTGGAGGCCATCGCAACAAAGAAAACATGTCCAACTGCCTGAGTTCCAGACCCTGTACATAGGTTACTCAAGGTAGCTTGGCATGTGGTATCATGCGGTATATACTCTTGAGCAGATGGACGGGATATTAGAAAGCTATTAGCAAATGGCATTGGCCTAGAGCACCACCAAGTACCAGCAACACCAAGGGCCTATGCCATAGCGCGATACCGTCCAAGCGGGATACCGTCCAAGTCCGTCCTACCGTCCTACCGCCCCAGCCCTGCGTCACTGCAAAGGGCCGCGAAGAACCCAAAACGGTCACGCAATTAGTGATGCCGCCGCTTCCGCCGCTTTCACCGGTGCCTTCATTGCAGCTATAGATCTTCTTTCCACCTCCCTCTGGGAGCTGCACATGTGCCTCCAAAACGCAAAGGGAAAAGAACTGCTGTGGATCATACTGACATCAATGAACAGTCAAGGAATGATCAAAATCAGTTTGATCCCGATTCCCAAAAAAATGCAGCAATGGATGGAGGAAGAGTCACAACACAGTTTGCACACCCAGAGATCCCAGTCGAATTCGTTGAACCGACGCTGACCGACCTGCCGACCCAGCCGGTCGCACCGGTCGCGCCTGGATGTGCACGAACTCGCCCAAAGATGGGTCCAGGGTGAATCGATGCACACCATGGCCTGCGTGAACGGTGACGACTGGGGCCAAAGGTCCAGATTGATTGGGTTCAACGGTGATGTACTCGGTGATAAATTAAAAAATATGTGAGATTAGTCAGATTTTGTGGCGACACCTTCACCAGTCAACCCTTGCACCTTGGACAAGATGCAATAAAGAGGATCACCCACAAAAGCAAACAGGCTGGAGGCCGCTAGTAGGGTGGAGGCCATCGGTCGGATGTTGACTCGACTCAAAAGCAAACAGGTGTTCAGATGCTTTGACTCAAACGCACCAGAAGATCATTGTGTTTAGAGTTTAGAGGAAGTGAACAAATGGCCCCAAAGGGGTTGTGTCATAGTTTGGGGCCACTAGGAATACTATACGTAATGCGTATATTGGTATTGTATATAAATATATATATATAATATCTTGGGGCCGGGGGGCGTACCATGTATATACTATATATATATATATTTAGAAAAATACGCAATGTACGAAGGTAAATATGCAATAATAATCTGCATACAAATAGTAACTGCTGAATTGATGCCAGCTACTTTGTCTAGCACTGTGGTGTAGACATCATGACTGCAGGTCTTGCTGATTGGAGTTTTTGCAACGCTGGACATGCCTACCAGGTGTTCAACTGGCATGTCTGCAGGCTCAAAAATCAGTTCTTATGAGTGGGATGTTTTGTTGAGATTGCGACGCAAACACTCTGGGGAGTATCTGAGGGGTCATAATGGTCATATCAGTCATGTTCCCTTCTCCAGGGTGTTCTGCGAACGCGCCAGGTTGCTTCTGTTCCAACCGTCTGTACCTTTGTATCTTTCTTGGACCGACCAATCACTGGCCCACTGGCCCAAAACCTGATGCTTCCGGCCTTTGAAGGAGATGACTAGCTCGGTCGCCGCTCCGTACATGCAGTAGCCTGCAACCAGGATGTCATTTCCAGTGCGCAAGATGTCGCTGACCTGGCGAGAAATCACGAATGCGAGCACACTGTCGGACCTCGCTTTCCACCAAGTGCGAGCAACAGCTTTGGCAAGATCCTGATTACAACACATCGTCATGTCTCCCAAGAAAATGCCAAGCACCCTCCTACCTGCAAACACGCCATGTATTATGCTTTACAAATCCATACAAATCCCCAATTCTCTCAGATCCTACAAATCCGCCAACACATGGCACCATCACGTCTCTCTCTGTCCGAGGCCCCACCGTGGCGTTCTTCTCCGACTTCTTCTCGTAGACGGCAAAGATGGTGCCTGCCCAGTCGCCCCAGTTTCGAACGCTCACGGTCTCTTTGTGCGACGGAGACAGGTTTGCTGCAGGTTTGGGCAAAGCAAGAATCTCCACTTGTTCAAAGGAATTTGGAGATTAGGAAGATCGAAGTTGTTTGTTGAAACCAGGGATGACATAGCAGTTGGATCCTGGAGATATTGAACATGCTTGTCGAGACAAAACCCAAGAATTGACATGTTGCCCAGCACATGCAGGAATGTGCCATGAACACAATCTGTTCTTTTGGGTTCGTTTTGTGCAAGCGAAGGCAGATTCACCCAGGATGGAACCGGACCATACTAGCACCTGACCTTCCAAAAGGGTTGTCAATTAACGAACGATAGTGGACTACCTACTTTCAACATGCCCTTAGATACTGCTGGTGAACCTGATAGCTGAATGAACCTTGATCATTCCCTCATCGTATTTCAGATGTTCCTGCTCAGGCTGGCCTGAGACCCAACAAGCTGTCCTGGCCAGACCCTGATCTCAGGCACCAACAGCCCCTCCGTCTTGGTGCCTGTGCTGACATTGCAGTCGATGTTGCTGCTCCCATCCAAGGGGTCAAAGGCCACCACAAAGCGACCCGCCTTGTCCTGTTCGAAGAGGCTGCAGATCTCTTGATACATTTCTTTGTTGTCTGTGCATTCTTGAGCCCATGGAACATTGCCTGGAAGATACATAGGATATCATATATGATCATACAACCTACCTGTATGTGTGTGTGTGTGCTGACAAAGGGAAGTGCTGAAAAAAAGTTGTGAGACACCTGCAACAATCAAACGAAATAACTAAAGAAAACTCAACATCTCTCATACATCTCTCCGTTGTCTAATTGTGCCGTCTTTCGTGTTACTTGTACTGTATACTGTTCATTTAGGTCTTTCCGCGGCGACGCTCTGCAGTCTGCCGTCTGGTCATTCCCGGCCTCCGGGACGAAGATCGGATCCTCACAATGAAGTGTCCCGTTGTGGAAACCGAGGGAGGTCTCGGCAGACCCTGGTTTTTCCGGAAAATGACGAGAATACACATGAATAGACTACGAGTCGCAGGTCAACCGACCAGGGTGGATAGGGCATGCCAAGTGTCACCCCCCCGACCTTCATCGACCCTCTGGGCATCAGATGGCTCCGACTAGAAGACGACACTCCTAGTCTTCATCAGGTGAAGGATAAGGACTTTAGCGGCAGAATCCCAAGCCGCGGCGAAAGGAGGCAGACGTTCAATGGCACGTCTATAGAACATCCAGCTACTTAGGATGAACCAGCCGCACTTTACATTGCACGTGTTTGTGACTCATGGAACGGGTGACCAACAAACCACTTGTCACTTGGCCCCAGCACTGCCTAGGTTTCTCTAGCTTTCGCAAACGCTGTCAAAAAGAATCGCCAAAAGACCAACATCGGCCAAAAGCTCTCTATGGGATTCTCAAGTCTGATTGGTTCTCCATGCTGCTTCCCTGTCTTGCCCAGTACCACTTCAAACCTCGACTTTTTCCTCTTCACAGCTGACTGACTGTGTTTTGTCTTTTTTTTTCGACCGTACCGAAGGTGTCGGTTCGCTTGCCTCGTTCTCCTCAGAGACCAGAACAGCACAAGCGCCGCAGTTGGTCAAAGCATCGATGAAGATCTCGTTGGAGAGCACCTGGGATGTGAAGTCACGATGACGAGCTTGCGACGTCTACTACATCCTACCATATCCTACCTTACGTCCTGAGAAGGCTCCAAGAGTATGTAGAGTGAAACATGATGACACATTATCATGAGGCACATCATCAGCTTTTGGATCAGCGAACACACAGAACTGCCGAAGGCACATCCAACTTTTTCTGGTCGTCGCCTGGCTTCACGGGCAAAGGACCGCAAACAACCTCCCCAAGGGCACGTTTTACATTACTGTGATGGTCTGTTTGCGTCGAAACGCTTCGGGCTTAGGGGAATTGGTGGATTTTGGTCGACGTTTCGCAGCGCTGGAGGCAGTAGGCAAGAAGTCCAGATTTGTGAGGTCACACTGTGACATCTCGATGATTTGAACCTCAAAAATCTCAGGCAACAAACCCACCAAGACCCACCCCACAGTTGGTTTGGATCCAAACAGGTTCGCTGGGAGAATACCTTTGAGCACCTGCGGGTAGAATCTCCACCAGAGAACCAAATGACCATGAATGTTTTGCGTGAGGAGAGGTGAATCTTCCCGCGGGTGTCAGGGACAACTATATTTCAGCGAGTTGAACACCCAAAATGGATCTGGAATCTTTACCTGTATTAATCCTAGAAACCAAACCGATGAATATGAAAACACGCATATATCATATGCTATGACATACAACCACACATGTATAATTTTGCTGTCATGGTCCATAAATCATCACATCAATCAACTTCAAACCGCTTCGACATGGTTCCATAACCGTTCAATCCCCATCTGCAGCCCAGTCCACTCCTTCGGGTTTTTCCCAACGCCATGGCGGCCTGTGGAGTTCACTTCTCCCGCCAAGCCAAAGAGCATCGCAATCCCCGCCTGCGCCATCTTCACAACTCCCGGATGCACGGTGTAGCATACAGTACGGGTCGATGACCATGAAGAACATGAATGTCGTTTATCCAAAAACCAGGTCTCAAAAAAAAGGAAAGACGAGCTTTTCAGCGGCAAGTGTCAAGTCCAATGGCATTCTCGAACAACTTGCCTCACGTTGCCATGAGCTCGGGTGTTTTTAAGAAAGAACTGTTCGGGATGATTCCAAACATGCTTCACTCAAGCCGAGTGCCCTCATCGCACCTGCCCTTCACGCCCTCGTCACGAAGACTCGCCTTGTTGCAGGCCCTGGAGGTCGCCTTGCACGCTAGCTGAAGCGCCATCAGCAGAATCGCCAGCTCCTCAGCCGTTTCGTTCGATCTCCGATCTCCGGTTGGTGGAAACCTGGAAAAGTCGGCGAAGCTCGGGAAATGCACTTGTTTTCTCAAAAGGAGTCTTGGAACAACCATCCAAAACATGTTGCTGCCAATCGCGAACAACTTAGATCATCAGCATTCCCCGAAGCAGCTGTCATTGATTCGTGTGAAGTGTAACCATTCCGCAAACCAAACAATGGTGAATGTGTGTTTGCTTTGTTAAAGTTCTCTCGTGCAACGTGTTGGAGCGGAACATACGTACTGGGTCTTAATGACTGCAACAAACAAGAATGCCCAAGCGACCGTTCTCTGTGCCGTGGGCTTCGTGAGCCACATATGTCTACACACCAGTACTAAATTGGATTCATCCTCAACATCTCTGCTACAAAAACTGAATTTCAGGTACATGTCTTGCTATGATGACATGGTGATCTGGTGATTCCCATGGATCATCATGTGCCTTTGGACAAGTCCTGTGCCGCAGCAAAATCCTTGTCCGTTAAATGCTCAACCATGTAAGGAACAGCTGCGCATCATCGATCACCGGTTGCCTTCAACCCTCCCATGATCTCCCATGTTTCCATGCAGGTCCTTGTCGCCAGTTTTTCCCATGATGTACCTGCCAGGCAGTGCTTGAAGATGTACGGCATTGCGCGCCCACCATCTGAATCCAGATTCCACAGCCTGGTAGATCTAAGAGCTAAATGGTCTCAAGGCCTTGACAGGAGATATGAGATCAAATTGATTGAAGTTGCTTCTCTCCAGACCTGCTTGGAGGTCCAAATGAACTTGGGGCACTAGATTTGAGGTTGCTCACAGACCGCCAGCTTGACACATGTTTCCAAGTCCTTGCCGCATCTGCCCATTTGAGTGCGTTCCTTGCCACATTTTTCCCAGCTTGACACGTGCCTCGTCAACGTTGGAAACTGGCTCACACTCACGCTGTCGGAGGCGGAGGTGATCGGACAATCGTCCATCCTGTGCGGTTTCGGCTCTAGGAGCAAGGACACTACTAGGGGCTCCTGGCATCGCTACTAGGAACAAGAATGCTAGTAGGGGCTCCTGGCCGTACTACTAGGAGCAAGGACGCTACTAGTAACAAGAAGCTTCTCCGTTTGAAGGCGAGAAGGGGTTCACCGGCACATGGCCAACATGCAAAAGGATCCAGGTAGGTGTCGAAAGTGGCCAGCGCCGCGACTGGAGGCCGCTGCTCTTTCCAACAGATACCATTCCGGACAAGTTGGAAAAGTCATCCGAGGTTTTGCTGTCTTATTTGACTACCATCCATGTCAACCAGATCAGTCGTTAAGAGAAGGAAGTCCATTTGTTTCTGGTTGGGATTGGGTTTTCAGGTGGGTATATTGAAGTTCCACCTGGCTCCCTCCGCTCCCTGCAGCCTGGGAATGATGGTGGGACCATAGCCGGCCATTGCTGCCTCACCTGCACCAAGAGGAGCGGGCTGTGGCCGTAGCGCGGCCTGTTGCCATCCAAACACATCGAAACAGTGGATTGTTGGTGAACGAAGATAGTTCGAGCAAGTCTCAGCAGTCTAATCCGCTTGTAGCTCATCGAGGAAATGGCAAAGGTTCCTGTTTTGTGGCAAAGGTTCCACCGAGTTCCACCTGTTGAGTTGGGGAATTTGTGTTCTGCAGCTGCAAAGACATGCAAAGACCTTGTTCGCAAAGTGCTTCTGTGACAGACCTTTATTGAACATACAGCATACGGAAACAAAGGGTCGGCAAAGCCAAGGGTCATTCCTGGAATCCAAGCGTTGCAGCTAATCCTTTCCAAGTGGTCATCAGTCCTTTTCAAAAAACTTTCATGTGTAAAACCATCCTCATCCCTTTTCCTTCGATCAACATCTACCACTGTGTCGTGTGAGTCTCAGTCGGCGCCTCACGTGTCTCGTGGCACGGGCGGGCTGCTATTGGTTTAAAGGCTGCGGACACCGGCTGCGTGCAGTTGTCCTTCAAGTTCGTAGGGCCGAACACAGCTCACCGTGCTCACCCAATTGGCTTCAAGTCCATTTGGGACGGCATCAGCTCGTCCATTTCCCCTTGCACTCCTGGAGGGACTTCAGTCTCACTCCTGAAGGAATCACTCCTGAAGCCTAGCAGTGAGTACAGCTTGGCCTATCAATCACTCAGATGGGCAATTGAAACTTGCAAAGACGTGACTGGGTTTAAAGGTCGGTTTGGTGAACTCACATTGAGCATGTCTCTCCCTCTTGTCCACTGTGGGAATAATGATTTATTGCTGCTCGTCTTCGTGTCTTCCTTCGTTGAGGCAATGCAAAGTTTGGCATGTGGCAATCAAGCCAACAACCAGTTGAAATCAAACATACACTGAGCCTCCAACAAAAAGGCACAATGGATTTCTGCTTGTCCAAACTTACTTTCGACTTTAGAAACCGGGTCTGTTCACTTGTGCCGCAAAGACCGTGACCCTCTTCCCACTGCTCCTAGCCGGCATAGCTGGGTAGTTCAATGTGTCCTCATTTGCCAAGAGGCCAGCGAAGACCTTGAAGGAGCAGTTCAGGACCCGTGGCAAAAGCACCTCGATTTGTTCGGCAAACCCGGCAAACCCATGGATTCTGCCTATCTTGGTTCCAAGCAAGCCAGGAAATTCCCCATAGGTTGGAGTCATTGGTGGGATAACCGGTAAACCAATGGACCGGAGACACTCGGTATGACAAAATGGCCGTGATACCTGCGATAAATGTGCTTTGCTAAGGAAAACCATGCAAAGAAATGGTTCTCAGCATCTCAGGAGACACCCCTCCAACGCTTCAGCCCAGTCGAAAAGATTGAAAGCGCAGTGCAGTCAGGACCTTGGACATGTGCATCCCTGTGGATCCCTGAAAATGCTATTGGGTTGGAGGCTGCTGAAGAACTCGTCCCTAAAAGGACGGATCTTTTTCCAAAACCCTGCGGCGAGAACCCTTCCGGTCGCATGGCCCGAGTCACGTGGCGCAACAACTCACTGGTGACATCCTGCGAAGCAAAGGGTTCAGGACCTATAGGGTGGGTCACCAGGAGTGTCGATGCTCAGTCTGGGTCAAAAACAGATGTCCTTTTCTACATACTCCTCAGGATTCTATTGCTACTTTTTATGAGTCTTGGATTCTGCTCGAAATTGTTCGCGCCCCCCGTGCTCTTAAAGCGCTTCTGGATCGCACTGGACATGGTTCTTGCAAGAATGTCGCCCATTCCCGCCTGCAACATCAGATGCCGAATCAGTCTTGAGACTCCGATCGCAGATGCCTTGAGAAAACCCATAGAAAACCATACGGTGCACGACCCGTCTACCCAGTCCTGCTCCCCTGGCTCCGTTTCACCTTCGCACCGTGCACGGTGGCGCTCGACGGGTGCGTTCTGACTCATTCAGATTCCGAAGAGACCCCCCGAGCATCCATCTCATCTCAAACAAAATGACTGGGTAGTGACACGCTCTTTGCAAAGAAAGTGTTCATTCTATTCTTCAGAGGCGTGTTTGAGTCGATGAGTCGATGCTGGGAAATCAGGTTTGACTTGTGCATACGAATCATCTTTTTTGCTTGAAATTGGTGGAAGGATCGCACCACAGCTTTTGGAAAGGTACAAACAAAACAGTGCAAATTCTGAGTTGCACTCATTCACATGATTCAACTATAGGAGACCGAACCACTTTCTTGCACCAATAACAGTGTATCATGGCAGTTCACACAATGTCGAGATAAAATGTGTCAGATTGACCGAGAATCAAAGTACTTGGCACGCTTTGTCTCCGGAACATGCCCAAGCACCGCAGCTACTTACTTGGAACACGAGAAAAAAACTTTACCTCCAACGCGGAACACACTAAAGACCCCAATTGATGTTTTGCATCAGGTCAAAATGTGTTCCTGTTCCTTCAGCTGGATCAGGAGCGACTCCTACAAACATGATCCTACAAGCATGGTCTTTGCACAATTGTGGGCTCTTCCCTTCTCTTCTCCCCATGTTCTTCTCTCCTTGTCTTCTCTTTTTCCTTTTCTCTGCTCTACTCTTTTCTTCTTTCGAACATCTACAGTAAATGAAAAGTTAACCTTGCCCAAAACGCTTAAGTCATGCCCCCTTCAACACCAATTCTCATCCGCACATGCACAAAAAAAATACAAATCTGTAGGAAAACCAATCATATATACTCGGCAAGCGATGTGTCCTCTTCTCTTCCCTTTCCTTTCTCCTCTCTTCAATGGTCATGGCATTTACATCAAGAGGTTGATGGATGTCAATATCTGGTTCCCATCACGGCCTTGTCGCCGTCTCAGAGCAAAGAGTGTCCGTTCCACCAAGGCGAAGACCTCACCAGACCGCGGCAGGGTTTTCGTCGGCGAAGACACGTGAACCACCACGTGGCATTTCTGGATCTTTGAACATCTGAGATACATCATTGTGAACTAGCACTGCTGGCATCTGGCCGTATTTCTCCATCGCACCGTCGCACCCACTGAAGAGGAGTCGCTCCGCATCCTTCGGGAAGAAAGGATGCAAAGGCCGTTGGACCGGCCGTGGAACGGCTGAGCTCCGAACCAAGCTGCTGAATCCACTGTGGAGGATCTGGTCCAATTCTTCCGCCTCGCGGAAGAGAATGCGACAGACGAATCTCGTGGCTCTGAGTATCACCTTGAAACAGAGGACGAAGGCGTGAAAAACATCGGAAAAACGACGTGTTCTTTCAAAGCCTTGGTGCCCAAGGGATCTTTGGCAAAGCATCTGGCTACCAGTTTCAACTCGTAGCATTGACTGTCAAAGCCCAGGACCCGGAAGGGAATTCAGAGTTCACAAAGCCGGGTGTTCCTTTGCATGCCATGTCAATGCATCAAGACCTATCAGTTCTTCATCCCACGTGAGGGCTGCACGAACCAATGAGCAGCTACAAGAAGATTGAACAAAAGGAAATCGGGTTGGATCTCTTCTCTCTTCTGAATCACCAACATGTTCAAC